AAATGTGAAATAGAGCCCATTTTAAGTACTCTCGTTAGCAGGGTTACGTGAAAAGTTTCCCTACTCTTATTACGAGTTTGAATGTCAGAAGGTTGAAGTGAAAAAGATACGCGGTGTTTCCGTCTTCAGTATTTCTAATCGTCGATTCATACATTGTTTCCATGAGATTGCAATCATCTTCCCAGGATTATTCCATCACGCAACCTTAGTGCGTTTTCATTAGTTTCAGTTTGTTGCAAGCACCGTGCTATTCGCACCGTACAATTAAAGAAGAATCCTCCTTTATTCACTTCGACGTTAATTGGTGTAATTAAAGTGTTAAAGTGAATTTTTTTCCTTGCAGCAATTTCAATTCCAGCTTCATTCCAAGAGTCCACTCCAGCTAACTCTCGTAAGTATGAAAAAAAAAATATTATATTCGGTACCTACCATTATCCACTACCATTGATTACTACGATTAGTCTTAACAAATATTACGGAAAACAAGATACGGGGTGGTACCCTCGCGTTTCTAGGTGTCTTTTGGACATTGTTTCCTCATGATCGCGATTATTTTTTTCGCAGGAGTAGACCTTCATTGTGGGCTCATCGTTTTCATTAGTTTTCAGCAGCGCGTTAGCCTGCAGTGCAGGCGGATTTTGGCGGGGCGAGTGGATATTCCCATCGGTTGATCAGGCCGCTATCTTGAATTACAAAAACAGTGGAGAGTTGGGGCGAGGTAAAAAGTTTACCTATCCCCAAATCCCCCCACCCAATCCGACATTCTCGAATCCAACATGGCGGCTAAACACTCGAAAGATGAAAACCATCAAAACTGCCTATACTGCAGGCTAGCACCGCGTTATTCACACCTCGTAATAAGAGAATAATCCTCCATTAGTCTTTTCAACGTTAAATATATAAAGCTTAGGGTTAGAAAACATTTCAAATTTGAAATCTTAAAAATATCAAATCGTGTTTCAAGCAAACAAAGTTTTCCGATTTTTTGTATTTCCAGGCGAACGTTTTTACTGATAATTAATCATAATAATCATAACATACAAGTAAGTAGGCGAGCATGTACAACCCGAGTGATATGCTTTAGTTGTCTGTAAAATGGTAAAATTTTTCAAAGGAACGGGCCGCTAGTGATATTTACCAGGTAATAGTCTTGTGTGTGTGTTTCATTTGAATACACCCGAGAGCGTTTTGCGAGTTCAAAGTCTGCTAACATCTACGGTCATTACAGCTCCCAAAATGGTTCCACACAAATAATAGTGTTCCGACACAAGTAACTTCACGAGATGCTCGACAAACTGGTAGGGGGCGGGGGCTATTTTCGGAATATTTTTTATTTTGTAGACCGTATTACTTCGAATAAACGCCGCCCTCGAATAAACGCCGAGGCGTTTATTAGAATATTAGACAAAAGGAAATAATTATGGTGCAAGACAATGATAACCAGCCCTTTTTTTTAATTTCTTAATGTTTATTTGCGCATCTAATGTCTCTCCTTTGATAACAAACAATAAAATGACAAGATTATTGCTCTGATTGCAGCTCGTTCGTCTTAAGTCAGCCTCGGATACTTTCTTTCATCACGATATTCTTCAGTTCAAAATGTGAATACTTATTCGCCTTTTCATTCAGTCCCCGGACCAAAATTTTTGTTGAGGAGGCATACCCCTCGACTTTGCTGGTTTTTCACTCTGATCAAGAGGGAGACAGTGACATTGAAGTCGAGTGAACTAGGGGTCAGAGAGGAACCTATCGCAATTACTTGTATTTTCAATAACGTCATGAACTGAAATATCAAGTGACTCCGGTTTTCGCATTTCAGTTAGTTGCATATTTGTAATGAAAGCGTGTAAACCCGCAAAAGAACAGACAACAAACTGAAACAGGATTTTTAACGTTAACTTTTAACAAATGCAGAGCAGAGCTGTTTACTTATTACAGTAAGGATAAGCTTGAAAGACACAAAAAAAAAAACGCCCGCAACATCGAACTGATCTGATTTCTTACGCGTTTACAAGCGCAACAAGTTTGAGTTTGATCTGTAAAGTTTGATCTGTACAGCCAGACATGGTATCTCTTGTTCTACTTTTTAATTTTTTTTTTTTTTTTTAAAAAAAAAATAAACAGCATATCAAATAAACGCTGCCCTCCAATAAACGCCGCCCTCCAATAAACGCCGCACCCAAATCGTGAAAAATTTAATAGACGCCGCGGCGTTTATTCGAAATAATACGGTAGTGCTGTTTTATACGGCAGGTTAAATAGCAATACACCAAATTTCGTCCCACACGGCTGCCACTTCAGACTTCGTAAACCAATTTCCGACCGTGGTAAATTTTAAAAAGAGTATTAAAACCAAGGCTTTCAATGCCAATTTCCGAAAATACGATACCTCTTTCAGTCCTTCAGATTAACGGTCTTGAAGGCTGCTATTCTCAGGTGGTTTCTCAACTCCCCCTTCTGCACACGTTATTTTCCAATGAAAAAAGGTGTTTAAATAGATTTTGTAACTTGCAGCATCCAGCGATTCCAGTGACCCCGAGGTCTCGATTCCAACCGGCGCTCTCTTACGAGCTTTGGAGTTTGGTAAGATCTTGGATAAGCGCGTTAAAGTGTCAATCATCGGTCCAGACCGAGTTGGTAAGACAAGCCTCGGGAAATCTCTGAGAGGCGAGCCTTTTAATCCCGAGGAACCAAGTACCGATGGGGTGCAGATGAGTCTTCCTGTGAAGAACGCTGGTACAGAGCCGTGGAAGAATTTAGATTCACATCAGCACACTACTGCGTTTGATCACAAATGTGCCGAAATGATCGTCAAAGAAAAACAAGCAACAGAGCAACAGCCGCCTTCTGAAGCGAAAAAGGATGACCAAGAGATTGACGGCGAGGAAGAAGGTAACGTTGTGATAGTCTCACTTTTCTCTCGTTGTTAATATATGGCCATTCTATTCAGTTTAGAACAGCTTAAATGTTGAGATTTAAAATATTTCACATCTAACCCAAGCATGGAATTTTTGGAATAAGGAGATCCTAAATTGCTTAAAAAATGATAAGCTGAAAGTTGACTTCCCGGGAAATAGCAAAGAGAAGCTGACAATTTTTCTTTTTTCTCAAATGAAAAGTGTTTGAAAATAGTGGGTATGCTGTAAGATTTAAAATTATTTTAGTAAGGCACATATATCCTCAAAATCTCGCTAGGGGAACAAGACTAATTGAACTCAACACAAAGGTAAACTTGCCGATAATGTTTTTTTCCAAAATGGATGTACTTCTTAAATGAGAGCAAGTGACAATTTTGTTACGGACAGATGTATCTTATGAGACGTTTTCTTGTGTAGTATGGCTGAGTATTTTTACGAGTTGTGTCGTATTTTGACGAGACCATGGGGCAGGTCAAAATACAAATAACGATTATGGCCTCTACTGGTGAGTTGAAAATGGCTTCCCGTGCACTTCTAAGAACATGCACTTTCTGAACTGCAGAATGCTCTAATGATCTTCGTAATCCACGGGCCATAGGTACACTTACACACAGAACTGTACAGTTAATGTTATGGTCATTAGCACAACCAGAAAAGAGAATTGAGTTGTAATTGAGCCTGATTAAGAGAAATTTTTCTGTTCTGGCAAAGTCAATAATCAACATTTCATAAATAAACAAAAACATGAGGGTCTGAATGCGGGGTCCACTTGTCGGTTGTCGGTTAAAATTCAGACGCTTTGTCGTTAGTCGGTTAAAATTTTCGATCTTTGTCGGTAGTCGGTAATATTTTTTGCCCTTTGTCGCTAGTCGGTTAACCTCATTCATACCCTCCTTTATGTCACCTCNGCTTGGCGTTTTACAGAGAATAAAACATCTTATGCCAAGAAATACAAGGGAACTCTTTGTAAAAGCCATGGTGCTGCCAATCCTTGATTATGCTGATGTGACTTGGGGGGATAAATCCAACACCACTCTGATGAACAAGATCCAATTACTCCAGAATAAAGCAGCTAAATTAATTTTAGATATGCCAAAGCATTCATCAGCAACAGAAGCTCTTGATCTACTTGGTTGGGATACATTGGAAAAAAGACGAAGATCTCATCGTCTATTTTTGGTTTTTAAGTCCTTGAATGGACTAATTGATTGGAATTTTAATTTTAATCATTTTAAAGACATGCATGATTATAACACTCGTTTTAATAACAACATTTGTAAACCACAATCAAAGCGTACATGGGGTCAGCATCGGTTTGTTTGTCATGCAGTAGATGACTGGAACGCTCTCCCAGACGGCATTAGGAACATTTCCGATTTTTCAGTTTTTAGACGTCTTGTTAAAAATATGTAGTCTCTTCTATTGATTATGCCCTTTTATCCTTTTCTTGATAACCATATTTATATTTTTTGTTATCCTTACGTTAGATTTATGCAGGGCCTCACTGAAAACCACACTTTGTGACGTGGGCTCCCTGTCAAAAGATCTTACTTACTTACTATATATTCGGTAATATTTTTTGCCCTTTTGTCGCTAGTCGGTTAACCTCATTCACACCCTCCTTTATGTCACCTCCTTTAATCATAATCCTCTTTGCCAAAATTTCGTCCTCTCTCGCTTCTTCTCGTGATTTACGTTTTCTCCTCACTTCCCACTGGTAGTCTTTCTTTTCGGAAGCGTTCATCAACTTGTGCTTGCTCGTACATGTATCACTTGCATCCGCGCCTTAAGCAGCACGACAGTTTGACCGGTCCAGTTTGTAACTTCATGGATAATGTGCACTTAAATGTGAAATGGAGCCTATTTTAAGTACTCTCGTTAGCAGATCTTAGTAGGCTAAGTAATAGTAGTAGTAATCAAAGTTTAATGTCTTTACGTGAGGCATGGTTACCCATATTGCCCGAGCCAGAGGCTCATGTATGAAACGCAAGACAACAACCCATCCATCCCTCCCTCCCCAGGGGAGGACATCCATCACACAGTAATCTCGTGCGTGGAAAATTAACGTCTCCTGCCTCAACTCTGCAGGAGACGGGACCTCCATTTATTTGTTCCTATCCGAGAAGACTAGAATATCGAAACCATTTCTTGATGTTATAGAAAGGCAGCACATTCTTCTCAATTATTTTAAGACCTTGAGTGTTGGTCCGGACGGGGCTCGAACCCTCGACCTCCCGCACATCAGTCCAGCGCTCTCTCCATTGAGCTAACAGGGAGGCGGTTCAGGTGATGCTAAGCGTTACCTCTGAATCTATTCCTTCACCCACAGAGAAAAGAAGCCGCAAAAGTTAATTGTTCATTTCGATGTAACACGCCATACATCACTGAAGGTACCCTGCGAGCAGAGCCTTTTCTTCTTTTCTTCTCAACCCTCCAAGGGAAAAGGTTAGGGTTAACCTTTTTTCCTTTTCGATTCGAGGACGGGTTAAAAAGGCTCTGCTCCCAGGGTACACTGAAGATGGTTTCAAAAGTGGTTGGACATGTAAGATTTAAAAAATTTTCCTTTCATAAATTCTACAGAAAATTGAGTAGCGGTTTGACCCCAGATTATCCAAAAGATTTATTTTTAGCTGTTTATATCTGCGCATTTTATATTTTGATAAATTCTCGACTTCAATCTGCCCGGTGCCTTTAACGCAACTGTTAACCTGAAGCCGCAATAATCAATAGAATATGGCGTTATTTGCTTTGAATTATAAATGCGATAAACAACAGATTGTTAACCTAGAAAATTATTGTACTTTAACAACCGAGGTCAAATACAACGATTTCCAGGCTAAACAGTTGTTGATGTTAAGTTGCGGTATTCATTACGCAGAAACACAGATGGAAGCTTATATTTAAACCACTTTACTGACTCAAGGGGCGGATCCAGGATTAAGTCAAGGGGGATTCGGAGAACTGTCCGAGGGCATGCTCCCCCAGGAGACTTTGAAAATTAGGTCTTCGGAAACATGATTTCTAGCATTTTGAGGGAAAATCTAGGGGGTTTGACCGAAGCCCCCGAGCCACCCCTGGATCCCCCTCGGTGACTATTATTATTTTTGAGGGATATTTTTCTATTAGTTAGTTCGTTTCTGAAACACAACTTTTCTTTTCACGAAAAAGAGCAAATGGAAAAAATAGAACGAGTAGAGAACAACAAAAGTATTTAATCTTACAACTTAATGACTACAAAACTACTACACTGATGTAACCATCACACTCCGCGGGACTTGTTTAAAAACTATTCAGACTAATAGAGCGTTCTACGACTTATCGCTGAGCTCATTGCTGCCTTCATCAGATATTAAATTTGGCAGTTCTAGTTGCCACTGCCCGTCTGTTACTATAGCAAAGTTCTCGCATTTGCCCGTGGACTACTTTGCCAAGCGAAAGAGCTTCAGCGAGAAACCACCAAGTCCAAACTGAAGAGCTTGCTCCTTCAATACAAAAAATTCTGTCATATGTTTTTTAAATTCGAATACTCTTGTGTGTTTATCTTTGTCGACAGGAACCCGGCTACGGTGGCGTTCGATTGCGACTTCTTCGCCTTTTCGGAAAAAAACTCATTATCATTTTTATGATTCCACTCATGGCTGACATGGCTGGACCGTATGAACAAACAACATGGTGGAAATATTACAGCGAGAGGTTTCGAGGGCTCGAGTACCGGAAATTGTTCTGCAAAATGATCCCGCGCTCTTCCGGTCAAAAAGTAAGAAAATGACAGGAAATTCTATAGTAACCTTTAACGTGGTTACTTCGTAAACTAGAAAAAATACAAAATGCTCTTCTGATCTCATCTTTCTGAAAACAAATATCGATAATGTCGGCCCATGTCGGTAGTCGGTTAATTTTTTTCTTGTCGGTAATCGGCAATTTTTTTCTTGTCGGTAATCGGCAATTTTTTTCTCATTTTGTCGGTAGTCAGTACTATTTTTCGCCCTTTGTCGCTAGTCGGTTAACCCGATTCACACCCTCAAACATCCCTTTATTCTTATGGGTGTAAAAAACGTTATTTCCGTAACAAAAATTGAGTAATGTCAGTAATGGAATTTTTTTTCCTCAAGCTCAAAATCTAACCACAAAACTAGGGATACAACTAGATTTAAAAAAAAAGAGCAGCTTTGTATTATTATTAAATTCTTTTTATTTCAAAAATCAGTTCACAGAAAAACAAAGGGTCACACAATTTATAGGTTGATTTTTTTGTAATATTCGCTTGCAGCCTTTGTTAAAGAAAGGAAAGTTTCTTTTCTGTTGATAGTCAAGTAAATTGTGAGGAATGTTTGCACAAATTATGACTTAAAAACTACGCAAAATAAGTTTGCTAAGGAACTTTATTTCCAAAAAATTGGTCTTTGAGTGTAATGTCCGTAACATGGATTTGCCCTATTGCAACATTTGAATAAGAACGTTAAGTTCCATAAGGTAAAGAATGTGTCGTTGCGTTACTTAAATTGGGGAGGGAGTAAAACATTTAATATTTTGAGTTTCAATAAATACTTGTTATGTACCATTGTAGCCCCTCAGGTTGATACTCCAGTACCCGTGATCCTCGGAGAGGATCTAATAAAAAGCCGTTCCAAAGAGATTGCTGCGCTTATGGAGGACGGGGGTAACGGAAGTGAAGAGGTGTGGCCTGTAATATGGGATTTTGCCGGCCAAGCTGTTTATCATGCCATTCATCCATTGTTTATGTCACCAGAGGCAATCTATCTTCTGGTTGTTGACCTCACCAAAGAGTTATCCGACCCTGCGCAGTCATTTGTCAAAGTGGGTGGCCATGAAGAAGAAAGAGCGTCGTCAACTGAGAGTGGAAACACAAAATTGGATATTCTTACACAGTGGTTGACCTTGGTGCATTACTTAAAGCAATCAGGTGGGAATAGCACCGTCAGGTCTGTTATACTTGTGGGAACAAAGGCCGATATGGTAGAAGGTGATCCTTGCGACAAGATGAAATCGTTTGTGGAAAACATCTCAGAAACTGTCCCTGAAGTTCTCCTAAAACATATTGCCGTAGCAGATGAAAACTTTGTTGTGGACAATAGTAAAGCTGATACTTTGTCCGATCAAAAAAGCCAACCAATCGTGAAATTAAGGGATTTTATATTAAAGACAGCCAAAGAAATGCCTCATACAAAGGAGCCAATCCCTCTGCAGTGGCTCTCTGCAGAGCTCAAAGTTCAAGAAAAGGTTAGGCAGAATGAGCCATATGTCCCCAAAAGCAAATTCAGACGCGACATCGCTGAGAAATGTTGTACGCGGAGTGAAGATGATGACGTGGAAGGACTTCTTTGCTTCCTGAGTGCTCGCGGTGCAGTAATATATCATGCTCTTCCAGATGATCCCGATGGATTAGTAGTGCTGGATCCAAAATGGCTCATTGAAACAATTAACAAGATAATCACAGCCAGACCAAGCTGGACGTATCCACTCGAGTATAAGCGCCGTTACGACAGATTGAAAAATACAGGAATTCTCTGTAATGAGTTGATAGATTTTGCCTGTAAGAAACTGAACATAGTTGAAATTAAAAACAACTTAATTTTGATAATGAAGGAGTTCCATTTGATATTTGAATGGAAATCTAAAAATGCAGACTTGATTTATTTTGTTCCATGTATGCTATCTCAGAATACAGAAGCTAATTTGAACACAGGTCCCACACCCCTGTGCCTCAGCTTTTCAGAGACGGGTTATCTTCCTTGTGGTTTTTTCCCAAGATTGGTCGTCCGATTTGGAGAATGGGCATCAGAAAAGTGCAGTGCAAGGCAACCCAACCTTCGCTCCGATGTCGCCTTGTTCTTTGTAGGCGAAAAGTTTAGTGTTCGACTTGTCCGCCATTCAAGCCTCATAAAAGTGTCCTTTTCTTCCGAAGATGCTTCTGATCAGGTTGACGAGGATAAATTTCGTGTGAAGATATTGAGGTAGGTGCTAATTTTTCGTGTCCTATAGCGATTTTGCTGACAAAATAGTTTGCTTGAAACCCCAATTGATGTGGATGAAAACAATACGCGATTTTGCTAATGCTACCTCCAAATGAATGCTGGGATTGGCCAACCCTGTATCAGGTCCTGCAGGAGCATGTTATTTCGCGCGGCCTCGATCTTTGTTGTTGTTGTGTCTCATTTGATTTTGTTGCTGTTATGGTGAAATTCGCCGGTAACGGAAGAAAACAGTCGGAAAGGATAAGGAGAAGGGATGAGCTATCGGCAAATTAAAATATCTGCCTCAACACCTTGGCCAAGTTATAAGATCTTTTCTCAAACACTTCCTTCAATTGTGTTCTCAAGCAAAATTTTCCGGCTATACTTGTTAGACTTTTGTAATTCTTCACGTTAGTAATGGTATATCGACAACTATTCATTGGCAAGTCGCTTAACCTTAACCAATTGCTTTGTGTTAGGCGTCTGAAGAAATGCGTGAAAAAACTGCGGATAGAATGCCTTTGGTTGCGCGCAATTCCTTTCAAGCTGTACGCTAGATGTGAATTGTGCCCAACTACTGGGGACGAAACATGTAAACGGCACAGAAAACAGGAATGCAGCCATGACGATTGTGCAGACTACATTGATTTGGAGACGAAACCTCTTGTTTGCAAGAGGAAAGGCTGTCGGTTACCACCTCACTTGAAGGAGAAATATATTCCATGGATTGAGGTTAGTGGGGATGTTAATATAAGGCGCCAGAAAAAATTATTTGATTTGTAACCGTCAAACTCTTGCTTTGGCTGCTGATGATTTAAAATAAATCTAATCTTTTGATTGATTGGCAAATACATTTATTATTTTTTGTTTGTACAGGCAATCGATGCGCTTTACCCGAAAGAAAAAACCGGTGAGCGTTCTGACTGTGATCCATAATTTTTTCTTCTTTTTCCGTTATAACTAAAGATAGTGTTAATTTAAGGTCCGAGCCCTAGATCGTTTTACTCCTTTTTAGAATGATTTTCTGACAAAAGAGGATAAGTTGGACCCTTGTTTTCTGAGTAACTTCAAGGCGCCTCCCTTTGGTGGCACCGTAAACTGTGAAAGTTTCCCATATGTCTACTAATTTTGTTCAGTTATCTTTTCTTGCACGGTTGGTGACGCATACCAGTGAGACAAGACCTAGACTGTGCTTCAAAGCTCAGAACGTGTTTTGAAGCACAAAAACAAAACGTGGACCTTCAAAGATTTAAGGGCTTCACCTTCCCTAATGTGCTGTAATCTTCAAGCTAAATAGAATAACGCTCAACTGTTTAAAAGGTTCCAACCACTTGATAACAAGTGGCATTATAAACATGTGTTATTACGCGACTCGGGCAGTCAGAGGGCCAATAACTAAAATCAACCAATCAAAATGTTCTATTGCCGGTCCAATATTTTCTAAGTATTGGACCGGGCACTGTCCCGAATGCTCCCGAATGATACCACACTTGTGTCCCTTTAAACTTCAGTCGTATAATAAATCTCTTATTAACCAAACTTGCTCGCGACCGTAATTCTTAAGTTCCCTTCGAGCAATTTTCTTTCTTGCGCGCCGGAGACTAAAGCGGGCAATCCCGAGCGGGCAAGATGCGTCCACTGATCTTGCCCGCTCGAGTAGCCAATATGAACTTAGGATTCGCCTCCTATTGGCCACGGTAAATAAATAAATCTTATTAGACGTTTTGTTGTGTAGTATCGCTAAGTATTTTTACGAGTACTTTGTGCGGTATGGCGTGATATTCGTCTCAGTCGCGCGTTATTTGTACTCTACCAAGCACAATTGGGTAATGAAAGTCCTTATTCACTATCTTCTCTTGATAGTGACTCAATATCGTGTGTCAAGCAACAAAATCTTCATTCATCGTTATTCTAGTGACTGCACTCCTAAAACATATTGCCGTAACAGATGAAAACTTTGTTGTGGACAATAGTAAAGCTGATACTTTGTCCGATCAAAAAAGCCAACCAATCGTGAAATTAAGGGATTTTATATTAAAGACAGCCAAAGAAATGCCTCATACAAAGGAGCCAATCCCTCTGCAGTGGCTCTCTGCAGAGCTCAAAGTTCAAGAAAAGGTTAGGCAGAATGAGCCATATGTCCCCAAAAGCAAATTCAGACGCGACATCGCTGAGAAATGTTGTACGCGGAGTGAAGATGATGACGTGGAAGGACTTCTTTGCTTCCTGAGTGCTCGCGGTGCAGTAATATATCATGCTCTTCCAGATGATCCCGATGGATTAGTAGTGCTGGATCCAAAATGGCTCATTGAAACAATTAACAAGATAATCACAGCCAGACCAAGCTGGACGTATCCACTCGAGTATAAGCGCCGTTACGACAGATTGAAAAATACAGGAATTCTCTGTAATGAGTTGATAGATTTTGCCTGTAAGAAACTGAACATAGTTGAAATTAAAAACAACTTAATTTTGATAATGAAGGAGTTCCATTTG